CATAGAATGACCAACTCGAAGTAGATGTTTTAAACTGGCTAATATTTAATCAATATGTGGGGGGAGGGTGCTAAATACTCAAAAGACAACATTTAAGATCATTTTAAAACTAAATTTTAGACCTAGAAAAGAACCTTAATTCACAACTGAATTTTAAAATGACTAAAAATTAATATATCTGTATGGAATTAATTTTAACAGAAAAATTAATATGTTTTAAATAAAAGAAGTAATTCTCTACAGGTAATCAGGCTGCTTCTACAAGGGTTAGTATTAAAATCACTAAAACACTGATTCTATATATCCATGACAGGCCTGCAGTGCAGGCTGGACAGGCACTTACACGCACTCCCACTGAGGAAGCGAAGCCAAGGTATCTGTACTGAGCACCAAAGTTTCTGCAACTCCGAAATTCTGATCCAAAAGTCCTATTTTGTGTTGTATCAGAAGAATATACCCAGAACTCCTAACAATGTTTTTCAAAGAATGTCTTTTAGAAGAAGAGGCACACAGGGTTACTAGATAGAACACCATGCATCATTACTTAACCTTTTCATCATCATCCTATGGTAATACTGCAAAACTGTTACCAAAACTTAGACCAGTAATTTGTTCAAAAAAGAAATCAAGGATTCAGCAGCACACACACACACACACACACCCTTCAAACCTGCTAGAAAGAAATGTCATGGAAACCTCTAAAACCTTAGTCATTGAACTGTACCTTAACATACAGATTTCTGCATTATATAAATAAATCTTGGGATTTTACTTAACCTAACATGGATTTCAAATCAATATCATTTCCTACAACAGTAGAAACAAGAAATCATAAATACTGACATGAAAACTGCATCCAAAAGCAAAAGAAAGTTAAGATACAATAGAATGCTATCATTTCTCATTAGATTCAGTCATAGACTCCAAGATTAAAGAAATCATCCTTAGAAAAAAACTACTTGCATTTTCCCAATGACACAACAGAACGAGTGTAGAACTGGGATACAGTGCAGTTTTAAGGGAAAAAAATATCAAAACTAATGTCATGCCTACAGAAATTTATACCTGTACTCATAATCCTACAATCCAACAACAAATACATAGATAGCTCTATCTTCCAACACTGTTAAGAAACTATATTACTGAAATACTAGTATATAGGAAGGAAAGTGGAGTTTCCATAAATTAATTATTTGTGGGGCTGGCACAATGGCTCAGTTGGCTAATGCTCCCCCTTAAAGCACCAGGGTCCCACGTGGGTGCCAGTTCCTGTCTAGCTGCTCTACTTCCCATCCAGCTCCCTGTGTTGTGGCCTAATGTTAGCAAAGGATGGTGAATCAGCACCCTGGGACCCTGTACCTCTCTTCTGGAGACCCAGAAGATGCTCAAGGCTCCTGGTTTTGGATCAGCTCAGTTCTGGCTGTTGTGGCTACATGGGGAGCCAACTAGTGGATGTAAGATCTTTGTCTCCTTCTCTCTGTGAATCTCTTTCCAATAAAAACTTAAAAAAACTATTGTGAAAGAACAATTACACAAAAAAATATAGTATAAGGGGATTTAAAAGTTCAAGGAATGATGCTAAACGAAAAATAATTGCATTACTTCACAAACTTTTACAGAATCCTGTCACATATCAAATAAAGGATTTAATAAGAATATTAAGTGGGGGTATCAGATTTCTAAAAAATGTTCTGGTGTTAGGTTGGCTGCTCATCATTAGACTTCACAGCCTCACAGTTCTCCAACTCCTTCCCCATCCATGAAAAGCACAAAGATCAAGCAGTTCTCGGACTTTCATTTCTATTAGCCTTTCCTGTTCGTACCTTTCTGATCATTTTCCAGATGATTTTTAATACAGCAAATAAGCCATACAGCAGTTCTATCTTTATTAAAACCAAGAGCAGAAATAACAAGAATGTACTATTTTATCATGCTGGCACCAATATAGGTATGATAAATTACTACTTTCATTAAGTTCTTTTTTTAGAGGGAAGGGAGAAAGTGACATTATTCAAGTTTAATATTTCTCTTCTCTATTATATTTTAAGGTATTTGCTAGTGTGATATTAATTGAATTACTTTAATATAATTTTCACTTACTCATTTATTATTTCTAAATCAGCTACCTGTAACTACTTAAGTACAATAAATAAATCTTATGGTTTCACGACAGAGCCTATATGAAGTTAAACAGAAATAAACTTTGTCATTTTGAAAACAAAGGTTCAACTGCCAAGTACTCCCAATTTTAAGAATCCTATCAATTCCATTCCCTCTAAATATTTTTATCCTTTCCCTTGCACATTGCCTAGAAAATTTCATATTTTCATTCTCAGGACCATCACTATTGTCTCGGGCAGATACACTGAAGTAGTTCTGCACTCAGTTCAGCTCAGAGGTCAATGTACCTCAGTTGCCTGGAGACTGATGGTTGCTACAGCAGCACCAGATAAGCCAGGCTAAATGAGCTTCAGCTCCAAGGCAGAAAGCATTCACTGCCAGGCAGAAACACAGATGCAGTTGTCCCAGCATGCAGCATTTCACTCTAACTGGATGATCATATTTGTAACAGACCCATTTACTACAACATGGAAAGGTCTGAACAGTAAAGATTTTAATTGGTCTGAATCCTGGATTACTTGCAACTATGATTTCTTTGTTCTTCGGTTGAGTCACATGTGAAAAGGAATTCTCCCTCTAGCTATAAATTTTTCTTTAACACCCTTTCCCTGCATTAACCTCCCTAATGCCAACCCCCAAACTCACAAACAGAATAAAGAAAGGAGATTTTTTGCTTAATTCAGCCTGTAATTAATCAGAACAATTAAAACAAATTCTTCTAAAGACAAAAACAGTACACATTAAAACATTTTCATGTGAGAATTTGTTCAAGGTTTACAAAGTTATCAACAGCTACATTTAGAAATGCTATTCATTCGGGCCAACATGAAAGCACGGGCATCCCATGTATGTGGCCCTAGCTGCTCTACTTCCCATCCAATTCCCTACTTGAGGCCTGGGATGGTATGGAGGGATGCCCAAAGCCTTAGGAACCAGCACCCATGTGGGAGACTCAGAAGACTTCAAAAGAAGCTCCTGGCTCCTAGATTCAAATCAGCTCAGCTCTTGCCATTGTGGTCACTTGAACAGTGAACCAGCATACAGAAGATCTTTCCCTCTCCTTCTCTCTGTAAATCTGCCTTTCCAATCAAACATAACATGAAATAAAAAACAAAATAATAAAAGCTATTCATTTATCCTGTCACTTTCTATGACTAATTTAATTTTCTAGCAAAATGAGTTGAAGAATTTTTCTAGTAATTAAACTCCCCTTATTCATATTTAGAGGTTCACCAAATAGTTAAGTTTCACCTTCAAAGAGGATACTACTAATCATGCCATTGATTTTCTGTGAAGTGCCTATTGTTTATTTGAATACTTGACTTAATTAGAATGGGGATTGCTTATACTGCAGCATTCACACACATGCATTAGAAATATTCCAGTGTTGTGCTCTGATATATATAGTTACAGAAAATACTGAAAAACTGTACATATGTATACAGGTTTGTATTATGCATGTATATGTATTTAGTCTAAAGGTTTATACAGTGGATTTTTCACACATGTACATAAATTACAAGTTAACAGCAAGAAAACTACTCAATTAGTTGTTAGTGACTGGACATTTACCACATTAAACTTAATGTGAAACATTTTCTTAAATATTCACATAAAATAAATTATTTTATATATACTGACACTCAAAATACATTAAAAGTTACAATCTTTCTGTTTTTCTCATATATAGTCATTCTAACATCTTCCTGCTTTCCTCCTTATACCTATATGCACACTTTAAGAATTAAGTATTGAGAGGATTGGCACAGTGGCTCAACAGAATAATCCCTGCACTGAGGTGCTGGAATCCCATAGCGTGTGATTTGTGTCCTGGCTGCTCCACTTTCCATCCAGCTCTGTTTATGGACTGGAAAAGCATAGGAATATGGTCCAAGTCCTTGGGACTCTACACCCACGTGGGAGACCTGGAAACTCTTGGCTCCTGCCTTCAGATCAGCTACTGTAGCCATTTGAGGAGTGAACCAGTGATGGAAGACCTTTGATCTTTGTCTTTCCTTCTGTCTGTCTCTGTCTCTCTCTCTTTCTCTCCATAAAACTTTGGCCTTTCAAATGAAAACAAATAAATCTTTACCAAAAAATCCCGGTGAGACCAATATTCTGATGCAGCAGTTTAGCACACTGCTATTCACAATAGCATCCCATTTATGAGTGCTGACTTGAGTTATTGCTACTCCTGATCCAGCTTCCTCAGATGGGCCTGGGAAAGCAAAAGAAGATGGCCCAAGTTCTTGCGTTTCTGCTAGCAATATTGAGATCAGGATGCAGACCCTGGGTTCTGGCTTGAGCTTCAGACCTGACTGTTATGGCCATTTGGGGGATAAATCAGAAAAAGAAAGATTTCTCCTTCTCTAAGCCTTTCTCTGTCCTTCTTTCAAATAAACTAGCAAAATTTTTTTTTAATTCTACATACACTATTTTGACTCTTATCAAACTACAGACTTAAAGATCAAAGGGTTAAACGAGAAAATTTACATTTTCACTATTACTGACAATAGTTATGAATACTGTATGCTTTTAAAAGATAGCAAAGGCATTTGAAAAAAAACATTCAAAATTGATTCATACTCCTGAGATCTACTTCCTTTTAAGAGTAACAGCGCTACTGAAACTATTAACTTTACATTATCAGGATAAAATTATTAGGTATTGCAAAGAATCACTTGGTACAGACACACACTCTTGTATCATGTCAAATGACTACTGTAAAATGAGTTTCTGCTAACAAGTTGATATACGCTGCAGTGCTTCATAAATTCCTACAGAAAGTTCCTTTACATTTGATTTTCATCCAATCACACTGGATTTTCAATACTATCAAACTCACCTATATATCACTTTGGAGCATTGTAATGATTTACCTGAGTTGTAGCAACAGCAGGGGTTGCAGACGATGCAGCTGAGGGAGAGAGCGCTCCCACCTGCTGAAGATGCCCAGATGACTGCTGAGGTACATGGGAACTGGAGACAGGAGTACTAGATCCTGAGCCAGACACTACATTTGGAAATGATACTGCTACATCATTGCTGTTGTAAATACCTGCAAGAAAAGAAATTTCATTTAATTATATCTAACTCAGCAGTCTAATCTATCAGACACACTATATTCAGAATACATACATTTCTTACTGACCCCCCAGTAACTGAACAAATAAACACTGGCTTTTTTTTAATGAATCTGTATAATTATTTGGCTAAACTGCCTTTGTTAACAGAGATCAAATCAGGAAGAGTTTGTAAAAAAAAAAAAATATCAGGAGTTTTAGGAGTTTCTAAGAGTAATGAAAGGTTTCCTACATAGGAGAAAGAAGCAATTAGAGCTGCATAAAAATCAACTGTTTCAGTATGCAAATTCAAATGTATAATTAAGGAAGTCTAAAATGTAGAGACCTTGTTCTATACAGACAATACAGAAAGTAAAAACTGAACAGGACTAGACTGGGTGGGACAAGACACTGGTGGGATACAGTCAAAAGAACAAATATAGATGGATTTGAAAGAGATGGAGCAAAGACGATAAAGCCAGACTTCATGTTTGACCGTATTGTGCATACAAGTAGGAGAGGAACTGAAGAGAAGAACTAAATCGTGGGAATGATTTGGACTACTAGATGCTGGTATCATTCATTTGCAAGAGCACAGCTGATAAAAGCTGGAACATTTGATGACAAGGTTCAGAGCACCACAGCAAAGCTGCAAGAAAGGGAGAATTGAAGCAGAAAGTCTTCATTCTAGAAGAGAACAGAAAGAGGAAGGGGAGAGAAAATGAATGTAAGAGGGAAAATGGAGGGACCTAGGGGAAAGAACAGTATCTCATCTTTCAAAAATTAGATAATCATTATCACATACAGGTAACAAGACTAGGCAGTGACACCAAAGAGAATGATGCTGCTAAACATCTTACACCACACAGAGCAGTCTCTACAGCCCAGAGTTAATCAACAGCACATGCTCTCAAGACTGGGCAGGCTGCAAGGCCTTATTTAACCAGGCTCCAGGGATGGTGGGACAGAAGATCATGAGAACTTAGTAGGAGGAAAGCAGGAAAGAATGGACCTAAGTGAGCTGTGACAGTATTAATTGGAAAAAAAAAAAAAGGTTAAACAAAATAACCAGAAGGCAATAATAATTAGTCATTTCTATCAATGTTCAGTTTATTCTAAAAATAACTGATTCATAATTAATTTTAAAACACCTACAATCTTCTTATAGGGTAACAGAAGAATTTTTAAAGGCCTTACAACTATAATTGAGACTCCTAGAACCTCCCTATATCTGTAATTTCTCCAAATAAAAAGAGGACTATTCATTCAGCAAATGTGTTCATTCTGTAAACAGCTGAGAACTCACTGTTTGCGACACATTACTCTAAGCCCTGGAGACACAAGCCATTGAAGAGAAACTCAGTGGAAATAAGACAATTAGGAAAGTGCATACAGAATACCCTCCTAGAGATCTCCTCAGGGACTGTAGGCACAAAAAGGAGGGTATCTTCCCAGACTTCAAGGGATGGAGAGTGGGAGTCAAAAAAAGTACTGGAAGATATGGTGCCCTGAAAGTCTACTTAGAAAGGCAAAGTGGAGCCAAGGTGAAACTTAAGTACTATACAACAGATCCTGTCAGTTCTAAGGAATTCTGTCCATAAATGAGACAAAGATAAGCAGACAAAAGGACCAAGAAGACCATTAAGAGTTCGAAGGCTGAAAGTTATAAGCCTAGGAAAAATAGAGGAAAGATTTCAAGAAACATGGTATGATCAGATGGGTGTTTTAAAAGCCATGGATCACAGGCAGCAGAAAGCACAGATGCTGAAGTGCTGCTGCAGTCATGGTGATGAACAAACACAGGGATCAAAGACTGGCAAAGAGACCTAACAAACGAAAAATTCATAGGACTCGCTGACTAGTTAGACCTGAAAAATAAAAATGAGAGAAAAAAATGACTCTTACACATCAATGCCTGGGAGTTGTGATACCATTCACTGACTTAGGAGTAGCAACTAAGAACAGTCAATTATATGGTATTTTTCTGCAGGTAACTGCTGCTATAGTAGTTTGATAGAGTAGATACTGCTCTTCTTTAACATATGAGTAAGCAGAGTTTAAAGAAATAGAGGAAGTTATACCTATTAGTAAAGACTATTAGTAGATTCAGGATTCAAACCAATAGCTGTCTTATCCTATAAATGAAACCACTTCCTAATCCAAGCTTCAGGTCTGGTATGATCACAACAGTCTGAGATGTCTGTGAGACACGGAACTCAGAAATCACACAACACTATAGAAGTAAGCCTGAAGCCCAGCAGGAAAATCAGACGTGAAGCATTTAAGTTGGAAGCAAAGTAAACTGACAAGATCAAAATGACTTCTGTTGGCCAGTACTACGGCTGAAGGTTTGAACAAACTTCTCCTATTTAGAAATGTGGAAATTTCTGATTTAAAAATCTAGATTTCTAATTTTTCATGAAAAATAAAGATCAATATTCTGTCTGGAATTCTCATGGAACACAGGTACTTTAACAGAGAAGACCTCCCACTGTTTCATATTGTGACACTTACCTCTTTGTTCATTTTGGTTACCTACCTGGCCCCATAAGCTTTTGATTTACAGCTTCTGATATGGACACCGGGCAAAGCCCAGGAACAAAAATGAGATCACCCAAGGAAAGTTTTCAGGATGATCAAGAAAACAGGACCGAACACATGACCCCAGAGTACATTACCATTTAAAAGCCATTTAATAGACCACAACAGACATCTTAGAAAGCTAAGCAAAAGAAATCTTAGAAAACACAGAATTTCAAAGAAAAAAGTCAAATGACTCTGCTGGTCGTTTAAGATACAGCCAGAAAAAAGTGAGTCACTGAATGGGGCAATAAATCCTGGCAAGACAACTCTTTTAAAGAAGATTAGCTGTGAAGGACAGAAACGAGAGATCACATTAATGACATGGCTGTTTATAATCTGTACATGCCAAACCAAGGCACATATTTGAGAAAAATACATAATAGCTGCTTATATTATAGTTCATTCAACAAATGTTTATTTTTTCTATTATTATAAAAGCACTGCCAATAACAGAAAAGATTTCCACCTTCAAATAACTTAGGGTATCATACCTCAGGCAATGAGTACCCATAAACTATTAAGATACATGAGAGAAATGCAAGGCATTATAGCCAAGTACCTACAAATAAAGAACTAATCAAAGGGAGATTCCTAGAGAGACTGGTGTTGTGGCATGACTTAGAATGCTGGCTTTCCATAGAGGTTACAACTCCCTGCTGAAGCACCTGGGAAAACAGCAGTAGATCACTCAAATACCTGGGCTCCTGAAAGCAATGTTGGGTGAGTAGCAAGGAATTCTGGGCTCCATGATTCAACTAGCCCAGCCTGGAACTTGTAGTCATTTGAGGAGCGAACAAGCAAATGGAAGATCTCATTCTCTTTCTCTCCCTCTCGCTCTGTTACTCTCTGCCTTTTAATATATAAATATTTAGAAAGATAGGCAGGAAAGAAGGAGAAGAGGGAAAGAAAGAGAAAGGAAAGAAAAAGGAAGAAATTTGAACTCAAGTGATTCAAAGTACAGTAAAAAAATAAAATGCTAATTACCTACTTATTTTGATCATTCAAAGCATACTGTACATGCAATTTCCAACTTCTACAACCCAAAAGAAAGTTAGCTAGAGGTAGCATGCTAAAATCAAAATAGCACAAGCTTTTGACTGAGAAAAAACTGACACAGCCCTTCCTTATAAGGGGATCTTAAAGTATTCAACCTTTCTGAGCCTCAGTATCTTTTTCTCTTCAAAAACACAGATAATAGCTATGTTGAAGGATTTGTGTGAGAATTTGAGAAAATAATGTAAAGAACCCAGCACTTTCTCCCACCAGTAAGTTATAATAAATAGTAGTCAGAGCTGTTGTAGAGTTACTGCTTTAATTAAAAATGTATCTGTGTCAAGAAAGTACAACACTGTAACTGTCAGGCTCTCTAGCGACCATAACAACTACAATTACCAGTACTACACACAATCATGTATATATCTTGAAAGTACAATATTAAGATCAGATTATGGTAATGGAGGACCACTGATTTTGAAACTTAAAATTGTTCTTCTATTGCATGAGTGTGTAAACCAAAATCCAGTGAGCACACTTTGAAACTACAATTTTTGGCATAAAATAAAGATTTCCCTCTCTCAACCTGCACTACGATGGGAAGGAAAAAAGATACAATATGAAAAATAAGAAGCCAACAGAGAAATGTCTGAAGAAACACACTATATAACCCAAGGTAACAGTTGCAATGTTAGCTGGACACACTGAAACATTAAAGATTTGCTCAAATACATAGCATGATAGAAGACAAGGCTGGACATGGGGAAAGGAGCTCTCAAAGACACCTGCAAGTCTTGGACAGGTGATGAGAATCTATGCTTTAACCACAGGAAGATACCAAAAGCAAACAGTATGACTGGCACCTGAAAGACTACCACTAAAGCAAGCAGAATCAAAGAGGGAAAAGCAGAAAGATCGTAGAGGCGGCAATTACACAATGCAGACCAAAATCATGCCTCGTTGGACTGAGGGAGTGCTGGTAGGTAAGAGAAAACACCAGTCTCAAGTACATCTAGCAAGTCACCGCATCTAACAGTTATGTGGTAGGAACGGTACAGAAAAGCAGCACAATGAGTCATAGGTTTCTCACTGGTGATTACAAGTGCCATTTCCTGATATGAAACAGGAACAGAGGGAATGGAAGATTCCTTAAAACAGGGCCTTGGTCCTGAGGACCAGCAACACTTTAAGAATGGTTTGCTGAGGAACTTCTGAAAATACTATGACCAGTGAAGTAGGCAGAAAGCAATGAATGGGTTATCTTTGAAGCCAGAGTCAAGAAAAGTGGGCTCATCAACTGCATTCAATGCTGCTAAAACCCTAGTCATGACACAGGCTGAGAAATGTCAACTGGATTTGGAAACACAGAGAGATGGTGATCTTAGGAAAACCAATGCACTAGGAGCAGAAGCCAAGACAA